GCTCTGGAGAGCAGAGTTCGCTGCTTTTAGATGTAGTCACCAAAGTCTCCAGTAGCAGAAAAAAGCTGCTAGATTTGGGATTTTGAGACGGCTGCCCCAGTGACCCAGTCCTAAATACGCAGAACGCGATGAGCACAAGGACTTAACCTGCAATTCCACATGTAATATTACTATGAAATAAACCGTTATGTTTACAGTGAAAGAAACAGGCGTTCGATGCATTAACGGTCAGTTCCGTATTTTTTTTGTGTGTGTTTACTGTGGTTTTCTATCCTTTTTGTTTTTTTTCTTCTATGTTTTCTGTCCCTCTTGTCTCCTACAGGTGTGGAAGCAGACTTCTAGGAGTTCCTGTATATTTTCTGTGGTCTATTTTTGCTTTTTTGTTTTATTTTCTCTCTTTTTGTGCACTTTTTCCTGTCTCTATCTCTTTCTCCCCCCCCTTAATTCTTATACCCTCTTTCTTTCTCACCTCCCTTTCTGTCTCTTTCCCTTTCATATATAAGTACCAAGAAGAACCTTATAATAAGAATAATGTTCTGCTTGTGAAAGCAAATCTGTTGAGCTATCATCTAGCTCTAGGACATCGATTTCCAGAGCTATATTGGCATAAAAAACAAAAAAAAACAGGTCGATCCAGGTTTACATTGCCAGTTTCCGGCTTTACTTACCACAAACCACTGAATCATGACGAAGCTGGGCTCTTCATCCAAACCATAGAAGCTGTAATGACAGGGGATTTCTGCCGAGTCACCAAGGTACACCTCCAGGTTGTCATTCATAGTCAGTTCCACTTTGCCCCACACTGAAAGACACATTGAAATGCACATAAATCAACTGCATAAAAAGTAACACTAATTTAAACGTCCATTTCGTAGCAACTGTTCCCTCCGAGTAGTTTTGACCTTTAGTTTGAATTCCCGATGCAGTGGGCTTGGCAGATCGCAGTCTGCTCAAGCCGATCTGGAGACGCGTTGGCACAAAGAAAGAAGAAAAGAGCTTCTTGTCCACTTGGCATCATTTTCATCTTCCTTCTGCCTGACTGACTGTAACCACAAAACCACATCTTGGCCAGAAATATCCGTTCCCTTGGCATCATTCTGGGAATGCAGGCAAAGGAAGGCAGCCCAGTTTGACACTGGGCTGTTGATTCAGAGCGCCAAAAGCTTTTTTCAGCCATGTTGAACTTGGCAGCTGCTCTAGAGGTCCATTCACATGGTGACAAATAATAAAAAAAAAGGATGACACCAAAAACAGGCATTTTTTCTGTTTAATCTGGTTTTAGAAAAGAGTAAAGAACCTTTTTTTTCTCTCAGGTTCCCACATTGCTGCTGTCGGGTGCTTTGTTATGTTCACTGTAGTGTGACTTAATTTCCTTAAGTCATTAGCTGGTGGGATTCTGTTCTCACGTACAGTTTAGAAATCCACATGCAATCATTATATACATGACTTCCATTGGTTTTCTGGTTTTAGCCACTTATTCAAAGCGGTTCTGTTTGAAAGCTGGTATAAATAGAAACGTATAGCTAGATTGACATGAAAAAAGGACTACCGGTAAGTGTAGAAGTTTGTTAAAGTTCATTTTCTCCAACTCACGCAGTCAAAATTATACAAACATCCTAAGATATAAATAAATCCCTCTTAAAAATGTATATTATTCAATTGTTTAAAAAAGATTCAGTTATAAATAATTATTTAGATTAATTCCAGCTCTCATTTCTCTAATTTTTGAATGATTATACCTTACAGCAAATAAAAAGTCAAAATGTTTTTTCTCAGAAAGGGAATATTACACAGAAAATAATAGTAATAGACATTACATTATACATTACATCTATTGCATTATACAACAGTATAGAAATAAGGAATTTTAATGTAATAGCTGCATAATTCAAGGGTGAACTGCTAAATTAACTAGTGGTGAGTATCAGCATGGGTGTTGCAATGCAATCAACATATTCTCAATATCAGTTCATATGAAATCGTACGAAAAGTTATACACAGTGTTTCGTACGTTTTTGACGTTTTTCCTCGAAAAAACAGATCAGTGCGCATGCGCAGCCAGACAGTC